GGCGGTGCATTATTAAATGCAGAAAATATAAAGTACAGTAGAATATCGATTATCCGAATCAAATAAAGCCAGAGGTTCGCCGTATAATCAGATATCCGGATAATGGATTTCATAGTAAATCAAACAAATAATGTAATTAAATTTTAATATTTTTTTTTTTACAATATTATGTAAGTTTATATACATACGTCATTTAGACAATACGATATACCTATTTAACTAATTAATGCATAATACCATTTCTAAATCGGTAATTAGAGCTGTGAAGAATAAGTCCGGATAATCGAATTTTCGGATAAACAATGTTCGGATTTTCGGATAAACTATGATACTTAATGTATTATGAACATATAAATAGATTAATATACAATATTCCGTTGTTCAAACGTGTTATTTGTCATTAAATTGACGCCTTTTTCTAATAAAATGTTAATATTGACGTGGGTTGCTTAGTTTTAAAAATCTAAACACATCCTTCAGGGGTCAAAAATTTAACTAGCTCATAGCACAAAATAATTTCACGTTTCTTCAAACAGTTCAAAAGGTGATTTGCATCCAAATGACTCGCTGGCGCTATGTTTGCTATGCTAATTTACTTGTGTACAACAAACGTACTAATTAAGCGTTAATGAAGTACATATTATGGGTGGCGGCAACTCACTACATAATTTCAGTTTGAAGACAGGCATATGTCAATGACATTATGTGGTACTCCTCAAAAATATTTTTTTATATTATTGTTAAGGATTTTTATTAAAAAAAAAAGACTCAGTAATGGCAGATACTCGTATGCTTTGGGCAGTGTATTTTGTGATGTGTGAGGCTCTTGTCTTTATGGAGATCCATGGCTATTACATGATCGGTGCTGGCAGGAAGCAGGTCTAATTCCTTGCCATCAGATATATTGAAGCGTAATAGTGAACATATGTTTTTTTCTTAATGATGATGGGATGGTAACCCTGCTTGCGCTCCTGGTTTGCACTGATAGGAGGGACAATAGGTGAGAAATAAAGTCAAGTTAGTTGGTTCATCGTGATGAATTAACCGAGATGGTTTCTAAGGGGAACCACGAGGAGATCGACCTGACGGGATATATTGTTAGCAATCTGGCTGATAGTTTCCATTACTAACAAACTATTTTCCCCCAGCGATCATATGTTGAAGCTCCGTTCTTTTTCTTCTATCGTATTTAGTGCTTTATTCCTCTAATTTCTGACAACATCGTCGACGTAAAGATAACGACACCACATGGCATTCTTATAATTCCTATGTACTATAAATAATTTCCTTTAATATTCGCCTGGGGTTTGTTTGGATTTTGGGATCATTTCAATTTATTGGTGTATTCTGTCTTTCTATTTGTGGTAGACTAAACAATTAGTGGATTGTTGTTACTCGACAGACGTATTTGAAAATATTCAACTAGCATAATTACAAGTGATGGAATAAATAAAGTCAATACCTTGATTCTTTATGATATATATGTATTTTATTATTCAGTTGTTATTTTATGAAAGAGCTCGATTTCCAAGTAACTTTGTTTAGTTCGGCCACCATTACTCAGTTTGGGATAATGGGTCGAATTGTGTATGTACCTACATGTAGTATGTTGGATTATGTATTATGTAGGTAATTAGCAGATTTAGATATAAAATTCTTGATTAGATTATTTTTCCAGTGCACTGTATCGTGTATTTGGAAAAGATCTTTTTTAAAGACAAAGGTCATTTTTACTTACATTATCTTTAAGTTAATTTTTTTTCTTAATTTTAAATATATTTAAAAAAACTAAACATTTTAAATTCGAAACAAAACCTGCAACATCTAAACCCGAAACATTTTAGGAAAATTTTGTTTCCTATTTTGAGTCCAAAAGTAAACCGAATCCGAAAACCCGAACCTTAATTCTGTAGAGTAACATAATCTATGACTGTGTAATGAAAAAACATCCGAAAAATTATGAACTTTTCTTCATTGTATAAGAACATGTCAAAATTAAAAAAGATAACCAGAGGGAGACTGTACAAAAGTCGATTTCGTAGTATTTTATATTAGATTAGTATTTCTACCGTGAAGCAGTTGTGTTTGCATGGCTGTGTTTCGGTTTGAAGGATGGGATATGGCGTGAATTTACAGGGTACAGAGGAATAACACCTGAGTCCTCAAGAATGGCAACGCATGAGGGTATCATGGGTGACACAGTATACTCTGTTATGTCCATGGTACTGCTCATGTCTATAAGCGACAGTTATCACTTTCCATCAGGTGGGCCATCAGCTTGTTTGCTATTCTAAGTTGTATATAAAAAAAAAGATAACAATTCTCGACGGAAGTAAAATATAAGGTGCTACTTACAAAATTTTTTTTGTTCGAACATTCTCAACTTAGTAGGAACTATTACAATTTACAACTACAGTTAAATGATACAGGAGTTCATAATTGTCAGTTTGCAAGTGCGCAACCTTTAACTCCTTGGAGAAGGGCACACAAAGTAGTTTCATCTTAATGTTTACCCCTAGTTCGTATGGTAGACAACTACCTTCACTGTAACGTCGCATCACGGAGGAACGGATCAGTCTTCATAACTTTGACTATTACCACACATGCTTTGTATTAATTAAACCAGGGATTATTATGATTAGAGGGTTTCGTAGTCAAGCGGTTATCTACTACATTAATAGGCCCTAAAGATCGGCCGTTAGAATCTAGCCAACACTAAAAATTGTATGTTAATCGTAGATAACAGTTGTTTCCGAGTTAATACTACAAAATAAATATATACTCATTGAATCATTTGGAGATTTCTAAAGAGATATGATTAGAATCCTGCATAAAATTAAAGAAAAAAGACATATTGTGGAGATCATTGAAAACAAAATAGAGAAAATATTGGAACACACAACACGAAAAAATTATATTACGAATATTATTTTGGACGGCGAGATAGTAGAAAGGAGTGAGAGAGGAAAAACACTGCAAAAAGCTGGAGACGTGTCATATCTAGATACGGGTATAACGAGATCTGCTAAAACGCATGGTGAGTGTCAAGAGCTCGATCGGCGAGTATCCGCCCCTTAATGAATGAATAAACGATATAAAGCCTTAAAGTTAACCAATATTGAAGCAGCGGGTACCCATGGGCGACGATAGTTACTTAATGACTTATCGCGTACTGGTTTTCTCTACCCACCATGTTAATCCTTTAACGATTCACTAAGGAGGCCAATTATTAGGGTAATATTACTAAGCTGGTCACGCAAATTAGCATAAAGTTTCTTCGCAAGTTTTCCTTCTATCGTTATAATATAATACTTGAAAGAAGAAAGAAAACAATATTTATTTAGTGTTTAATGTCACACATAATAACAAAAAATATTTAACGATAAATAAAAATAAACAAAAATGGAAAAGAAAAAGCACTAAAATGGTATCACTCTGCCATATGCTATGTTCTTTCGAACATGACGCTGACAACGCCGAGTTAATTCTTTTTAATACATCAAACATTGATCAAGAAGTGGTGATAAGTCGTAGTATACTTACATTAGCATCATCATTACATCAGCCTTTAACTGTCCACTGTTGAACATAAGCCTCCTATTTAGGGGGTTTTGCCAGTAGTTGCTAGGCTTAGCAGGCGGATTGGCAACCGCAGTTAAGTTTTGGAGATATTTTAAGTGGAACGCTTTTGAATATTCCTCGCCCTCCTTAGTCGTCTTTTACGACACTCATGGGAAAGGAAGGGATGGCCTATTCTAGCTGACACCACACAGCCATACTTACGGAGGCAAAATTCTCCATTTGCAACATTTGCCTCTTATAGTATAAAGAAAAAAAGTTTAAAACGAAAGTTTTTAATTGAAAGTTTTTAGAACGATTCACAAATTGAACATGGCTGCGATGCGAGTTTAACGGAATGAAATGAAGTGTTTGCTCTCGTTAACTAAACAACGATAGCCAAAATTGAGATAGTCCAACTGAATATACATTGATGTTTTCATTTGCAAAGCACCGGTTTGTTTTTCATTAGTTTCTTTTAACTTTGAACGTTGTATTGACTAGTGGATATAACAAATTAAAAACTACAGCACTAGAATGATTAAGACGAAGGTAATAATACCATAATAATGGAACATCATCATCATGTCAGCTTTTAACTGTCCACTGCTGAACATAAGCTTCCCCCTTGGGAAAAGATTGGAGAGAAAAAGGAGCAGCTACACGTCAACTCCATCATCATGGTGATAAAAATTTTAGCATGGCTGTTCTAATGATAGCGAGGAAAAACTTTCAAGACTATATTGTGTCTGTATTCGCTCAGGAGGGTATGATCAATCAGGTGTTACAATAAACAAAAGACAACACATAGAATCAAACATAGAATATTTTTTTTTAAATTTGTTAAAAATAGAAATGTGTCGCAAAGTAAAATTTTTATCCATACTGGCATCAACGTAAAACGTTACACGCGCGTGATTCTGGTGTAAAGTTTTGAAATCTTATATGGATGTACTTTCAAGTACTTATGAATTTTAATTTTAAAGCTTCTCGGGTTTAATATTGTCTTTTATTAATATATTAAAAGGAAACAGTAGCTGACTTCGACCGTGCGGAAATATATTCTTCTTTTCACGCGAAAAATTCGCTTTAAAGCGATTGTGTATAATAAAGACAATAACTACTTAGCTTAATATATAGGATATGTATATGTACAAATTATACACGTTAACAAGGGTTTACTCGCATTTTGTGGTTATAAAAAGTGACGGTTTTCTTTCCAAAATCCTATACATATAATTCTTTCTGAAATCCTGCATTTACCGGAAAAATTGCTAACATTTATTTATAAGACAGTTCGTGCATTAATTTCGGTTTAATATAGGAATAGACAGATTATATTTGTCACATTAAAATTGCTATTTTAGTCAAAATATACTTTTAATTTCTCAGTTTTACTACATTGTAACAATTTTTAATAGTAATAATATCTTTTGTTTCAGATTTTCGTGTAGTGAATGTGGATTTCCTTTCGGTGTTAGTGTTTTAGATTAAGTGTTCAATTTACATTTAGTGTTTCATAACATATTAGTGTGTATTTGTCTATTATTAATGTTAGTAAATAAGTATGTTAAATTGTAAATATAGAATATGTAAACCATCTATCGCTTATTCTATGACAATTCACACAACTATACAGTGATGTGACTAATAGAATCGCGAGTTTTACGTTCTAATTTCAAACTGTGACGTTTAGTGCGCAAAGATTATGGAGCGACCAGTACGCTCGGTGTTTTCAGACGGTTAGTGCCTAATAACGAGCGGTAACATGTCGTTGCCAATGAAACGCTCGTTCAGCTCGGAGGGGGGGCCCACTTCCAAACGCGACTGGAAGATGAGGCTCAGCTTGCGGAGTCGCAGCGGACACAGCGTCGTAAGTATAAATTTTTATTTCTCTATTTTTTTAAATATTTGCCATTTCGATACATTAATATTAGCTTTATTTTGGATAATAATAATAATAATCATATCAGCTTTTAACTTAAGCCTCCCCCTTGAAAAGTTTTGCCTATAGTTGTTTGATTGCTGATTGGCAACCACAATTAGGTTTTAAAGATGTTTTAAGAGGAACTGCCCATCCCTCGCCCTCCCTTAGTCGTCTATTACGACACCCATGGGAAAGGAAAGGGTGGTTTATTCTACGCCGGGACTACACGGTTGCCAATCCGTCTGCCAAGCGTGGTAACTACTGGCAAAACCCCCTTAGGGGGGTTTATGTTCAGCAGTAGATATTTTAAAGCTGATATGTTGATGATGAAGCTAAACAAGTAAAGTGAGTAAACCATTTGCCTCTAGCGTTATAGTAAGGTTAGTATATTTTTATTTTATACAACTTAGAATGGCAAACAAGCTGACGGCCCACCTGATGGAAAGTGGTCGCCTATAGACATGAGCAGTACTATGGACATAACAGAGTATATCGCCCATGATACCCCCCATGCGTTGCCATTCCTGAGGACTCAGGTGTTATTCCTCTGTACCCTGTAAATTCACGCCATATCCCACCCTTCAAACCGAAACACGGCCATGCAAACACAACTGTTTCACCGTAGAAACACGAATAGGACAGAGGTACCCAAGCAATCGACTTTTGTACAAAGTCTCCCTCTGGTAATCTGACCTCAGACGTAGCTACCAGTGAGGTCGTTATTATCGTTCGTTAATTAAGAAATAAATATTACTTGATATAACTTATAATATTTATTGGCCCAAGAAAGGCTTTGTGCAAAGGCAAAAAGAAAGACAATTAAGATGTTTTCGAGTTATTAAGTGAAAGTAACGTAATAAAATGAAATAAACATAAATATACCTCTTTTTGTATAAATGAGAAAGAGTATTCGTAGATTAGTTCAAGCAGGTGGAAAGAATGATAGATGAGAGGTTAACGAAGCATTTATAAGGTGCGAACGTGTATAAATACAGAGGGGCTACCATGAACGGTTTCAACGAACGATCAATCCTAAGTTGCGTATTGAAATTTCGTAGGTATTTACAAATGACCTCCAATATGCAGGTAGCTATTGTATTATATGTGTTATTGCAAAGAACTTAATATATTAAGGGAGAATCTTTGCTTGACTACTATTTATGCCAGGTCGTCTGTAAGAGATTTCTATTAGCGATAAGGTCGCCTTTTGTATATGCACATTCTGTATAAATACACCTTGTATATATCGTCACCTCTATGACAAATTTACGAATCTGCAGTATTTTCAAATTTGACATTTCTTTAAAAATCTACATTTTGCGTCATACTACTTATTGTGGCTTATTTTCAAATTTCTATCTATATAAATCGAGTAGCTCGAATCTCCATATTTTGTGATATACCCAAAGTAAACTTACTTAGCATATTTTTATATTATTTTCTATAATAAACACTTTAATTTGAAAATTTCAATAATTATTTTATCAATTTTTCAATCCTAATTTAGTTATTTTACATGAATGATTGCTAATAACGTTGTTATTTAAACTGAAGTTCTCTCCAAAACACGTGATTTATACCTTGGTATATTTACGAAAGTGGCACTTTCGTTAGTTTGGCAGATATTAAAATAAATGATTTTCTTTGGCAACTTACGAAACTGCCACTTTCGTAGATTTGCTGTTGTATAACTCAATACCTAGGAACTCTCGTGTATGAAGGTGCAAAGTAACGAATGTGCATTTATTTCTGATATTTGTAATATAATAATAATTAATTAAGCGCATTCAATAAAAAAACAGTATTTTAAAACTAAAATGTTAGCGTGACCTTTTACAGTAGTCTTCTATCAAAATTTATTTGCATTCTAATGTTTCAAAACGTTCCCATGTAAAATGTATTTTTTTTTAATTTCGTAAGTTTACCATAAAGGTGACGATATACGAGTATGTACGTCTCTTTTGTTTGCAAAGAAGACTTAATTATTAATATGTAAATTCAAATTAACATTTCATAAGCCTTTATTAGTGACATATTAATAATTAATAAACAACTTATTAGCATGGAAACAATACTATATTACTATAACATACAACAATTATTAGTGATTAATTAAATTATTGTACTGCTCCGTACACTGCGGCTTCCAAAATGTTACCGTAAATTCTTACAACAAATTATGAAGGATTCATTTGAGGCACGTTTTAATTAAAAATAAACGTTTATTTCTGATTTATTTTTAATGAGTTTAATGAAAGTTTGTAAATCTCCATTAGATAGTTGATGGATGGCCATTTAGTATTTATTCATAATTAGGATGGATAAATTTCTATAAATATAAAATACCTCAAAGTTTACAGTACCACCGCTGCCAAAATTATGGGCACTCCGCCCGAAACTGCTACGCGCGCGAACGTTGCGTCAAGTGCCTGGGAGACCACGGCACCAAGCAATGCACTCGCGTGAGTGGCACCCCGACCCCACCTAGCTGTGTACTCTGTGGCACACAGGGCCACACAGCTAACTACCGCGGATGTCCCCGCGCTCCCCGTCCCGGCCAAAACAAGGCCTCCGCAAAAGCCACAAAGGCTCAGGCACCCCGCGCAGCACGCCCCGCGCCCCCTACTATCCCGCAGCCTTCAGCTGCACCACCTCCCCCGCCAAAAAATGCTTGGGTGCGACCTCCGGTCGTCAAGGCGACCCCCTCACCCACCATGCCATCTGCAACCGCTCCCACGCTTGCCAAGATTGTGGCATCGCCCGCTCCTCCGCGCCCCGCCCCGCAAACTGGAACGAACGTAGGCTCAAGCTTCGCAGCCGACTTCGCACTGGTAGCGAAACTCGCCAGCTCCATCGACGCTGGCGAGATTACGGCCCTGGCCTCCAAATTAAGATCAGTCAACGACCCACAAGAAAGACTCGCAGCCGTCTGCGAGCACATCGGCGTACTAGTCGCCATCCTCAATTTTAACAACTAATTATGGATCTAAGGGCGAAAAGATGCAAACCTCGGTCCGTTAAGTTAGCGTTTTTCAACGCTAACGGACTACAAGGGCAAAGAGACGAAGTCCGTGAGTTTCTCACCGCCCACCAGGTGGACGTTCTTCTACTACAGGAGACCTTCCTCAAGCCTTCAATACGCGGTCCAAGAATCGCAAACTACAATATCGTACGCAATGACCGCATCAGTCGCGGCGGCGGTACGTTAATTTATTACCGAAGGTCCCTTCAGTGCATTCCGATCGACACGCCTCCGCTCGTAAACATGGAAGCCTCGATATGCCTCCTCGCGATGACAGACCATCGACCGATCTATATAGCATCGGCCTATCTCTCTCCCTCCAAAAAGCTACTCCGGGCCGACCTCCAAGCTCTCATGGACCTGGGGGATTCGGTAATTATTGCCGGAGATCTAAATTGCAAGCACAGCCTTTGGAGCTGTGCTTATCCGAACCCAAACGGTCTCACCCTGGAACGCCTTTCGCTTTCCATGGGTTTCGACATCCTTCCCCCAGTGCACTTCACGCACTATCCGGCAAACACTGCTCATCAGCCCTCCATCCTCGACATGGCCCTACTAAAGAACATAGCCTTAAGGCTGAGTTCTATGGAGGTCCATGCCGAACTCATCTCCGACCACCGCCCCGTCACATTCTCGCTAGGCCCACCTGCAGACGGGGCGCCTCAATTTAAAACGGTCACGGACTGGAGCCGGCTTGAGAAAGTCCTCGAGTCGACTAACTCTCCGGTACTGGACCGCATCCCGGACGTAGTCGAATCTATCGAGGAGACGACTACAGCCATAGACGCGCTAACAGAGCACCTGCAGTCGGCAGTCAAGGACTGCTCCAGGGAGGTTCCGGATACGGGCGACCGTAGATGGAACCTACCTAATGATGTAAGGGCTCTGCTGCGCACTAAGAATGCAGCCACACGAGCGTATGTCCGCTATCCCTCAGAAGAGAACCGAACCCGCCTGCGAGCTTTACAGCGCGAAGTAAAGAGTCGCATAGCGGAACTTCGGCGAGACAGATGGGATAAGTTCACCAAAGAACTCACCCCCTGCCATACCGCGTACTGGCGAGTAGCCAAAACCCTCAAAACAGACCAGTGTTACTCCGACCTTCCGCCCTTAGTCCGAACAAACAACAGTCCGGCCATATTTGATGAAGAAAAGGCTGAATGCCTAGCAGACAGCCTAGAGGCCCAATGCATGCCGAGCACCCTTCCGGTGCCCGATGATCATCTAGAGAAGGTAGAATCCGAGGTGGAGCGAATCCTGTCGATCCCTCCAGTAGAGTCACTCCCCCCCGTTACACTCGATGAGGTGCGAACACTCATCAAAGGAACTCCCAACCGAAAGGCACCCGGTGCCGACGGTATCTCTAACAGACTCCTTAAGAGTCTGCCAGAAACCATTCTGCTACTCCTAGTAGCGATCTTCAATGCGGCAATTACCAATGCCATCTTTCCAGATGCTTGGAAAGAAGCCGATGTCGTAGGCTTTCCCAAACCTGGGAAAGATAAGTCCCTTCCCACCAGTTTTCGCCCCATCAGTCTCCTCAGCTCGCTGGGGAAGCTGTATGAGAAGCTAATACTCGCACGCCTGAAAGACTGGCTACAGTCCAAAGGCATCCTGATCGATGAACAGTTCGGCTTTAGAGCCAAGCACTCAGCTGTTCATCAAGTACATCGTGTAGTAGAACACGTCCTCAACGCCCGACACCTGAAATCCAACGGGGTCACATGTGCCCTGTTTCTCGACGTAGCGAAGGCCTTTGACAAAGTCTGGCACAGCGGCTTGATTTTCAAACTGCACAAGATGGGAGTGCCAGACAGGCTCGTGCACATCATACGAGCCTTCTTGTCCAATAGGTCATATCGCTATCGCGTCAATGGAGTGCGTTCCAGCGCACGACCGATTAGAGCCGGCGTCCCTCAAGGCG